TAAGGATATTCACATGATCATGTTCCAAACATACTTAAAAAGTTTTCCAATAACTGAATTAAGTATTAACTTTTTTTAGTATATTTTCTAGGGCAGTTTTAGGTTCACAGCAAAACTGGAAAAAAAGGACAATCATCCCACCCTCCGCTCCCCCCACCATCAATCTCCTGTACAAGTGCAGAATTGATAAGTCAACACCGACACATCAATATCAACCAAAGTGTTTAGTTTATGTTAGTATCCACATTTTATATTGGGTTTGGCCAAATTACATATATCCATCATTAAAGTATGCAGAATAATTTCACTTCCCTAAAAATACCTTCTGTTATACTTACTCCTCCTTTCTTAGCTGAAACCCCTGTCGACTACTGTCTCCATAGTTTTGCCTTTCAGAATGCCAGAATTGGATCATAGAATATGTAGCCTTTTTAGATTGGCTTCTTTCATTTAGTAATATACATTTAAGCTCCCCCATGTCTTTCATGACTTCATAAGATCATTTCTTTTTAGCTGAATAATATTCCATTGTATTGATGTACCATAGTTTATCCATTCCCCTACTGAAGGACATCTTGGTTATTCCAAGTTTTGGCAATTATGAATAAAGGTGCTGTAAACATTCATTTGCTGGGTTTTGTGTGGACCTTAGTTTTCAACTCCTTTGGGTAAATACCAAGGAGCAATTTTTTTTATTGTAGTAAAATACACAAAATTTACCATTGGAACATTTACATTCAAAGTGTACAATTAATTTGGTGGCATTAAGTACAGTCACAGTGTTGTGCAACCATCACCAGTACTTGGTTCCAGGACTTTTTCATCACTCCAAATGGGAACCTTGTTAAATAGTCACTCAAGTATTAACTTTAATATCTGTTAATAAAAGTTAAATGATATTAAAATTTCTCAGTTACATTAGCCACATTTCAAATGCTTAGTAGCCATACATGGCTAATGACATTTTAAATAGTATGAGTCTAGGGGAAGAGAATTAGGGGTAGAGAGAATAACAAATATGAAAGTCTTGATGTAGGAATACACTTAAAAAAAATTTTTTTAAAGATTTTATTTATCGTTAGAGGGGAAGGAGAGAAGGAAGAAACATCAATGTATGGTTGCCTCTAGTGCGTTCCCTGCTGGGAACTGGCCTGCAACCCAGGCATGAGCCCTGACTGGGAATTGAACCGCGATCCTCCGCTTTGCAGACCTGCGCTCAATCCACTGAGTTACACCAGCCAGGGCAGAATACACTTTTTCAAGTAAATTTGTTGCCAGGTATGACTGGAGTATAAGGAGCAAAAGGTAGAGAATGTAGTCACTGAAGTAGCCAAGAGTTAGCTAATAAAGGGCCTTGCATAGTAAAAGACTAGATTTTAAGGGTGATGAAAAAATTATAATGAGGTTTAAAATAATCAGTCCTGGCTGGTATGGCTTAGTGGGTTGAAACCTGGCCCACAAACCGAAATGTTGTCAGTTCGATTCTGGTCAGGGCATATGCCTGGGTTGTAGGTTAGGTCCCCAGTTGGGGGTGTGTGAGAGGCAACTGATTGCTGAGTCTCTTACACATCGATGTTTCTCTCCCTCCTGTCCTCTCTAAAAATAAATTTTTAAAAAATCACTCTGGCTTCTGTGTTGGAAAGACTAAAGGAGATTCCAGAATGAACTAGGAAGGTATTTGAGGTGATAAGTGTTTGGATTCAGGATATATTTTTGAAGTTTAGTTTATTGCATTTACAGTGAATTTGCCATTAGCTATGAGAAAGAAAAACTATATTCTGTAAGGTGGAGAATACAGAGAGTAGCAGGTTTGAGAGAAAATTGAATTTAGTTTTGCCCATATTAAGTTTCAGATGGTCATTGCCATCAATTGATCACAATATTGGAGTAAAGTGACCAGCTCTGATATTTCAGTATTTATTATATTAGCTCACTAATATATTATTTAGTGAATGGAAAGTAAAAGTGATAAAAATATAACTCAGAGATAGAATTAACATAGAAATGCCTTTATATGTATTGGGTAAAAAAGATAAATATATTCCATATAATCTCAAATGTGGGACTTACTGAAAGACTGTTGAAGATCCAAGATACTCCTGTGACACTACTTAGCAAACACCATTTCATTAATGTTTTCATATAGCAATAATTTCGAATGGCTTGCAAAGCATGTATGCCACTAGTTTTTTTTAAAGTATTTATTTATTTATCTTTTTAGAGGGGAAGGAGAGAGGGAGAGAAACATCAATGTATGGTTGCTTCTCGTGCGTCCCCTGCTGGGAACTGGCCTGCGGGGAACTGGCTTGCAACCCAGGCATGTGCCCTGACTGGGAATTGAACCGTGATTTTCTGGTTCAGAGACCTGCATTCAATCCACTGAGCTACACCAGCCACTAGTTTTTTTGCGTTACTTTTTTTTCTGTGTCTAGTTTTGTACCTAAATATACTTAAGACTTCATTTTTAAGTTAATATTTTTAAACCTTTAGCTTATTCTAACATCTTGCACTGGTTGTTACTGAAGCTTAATTACATTAACTACCATTTAATGCACAAGAAAAACATCTTGCTAAGTATTTTCCTTAAATAATCTCATTTGATATTTGTAATAATCCACTTAGATGTTGCAGAAAAGAGGCTAGTAGAAAGAGACCATCGGATGTAAAAGACTGAAGTGAAAACAACAAAACACAGTTATCTTCTGTGAAAAATAGTGTTAATCCCTGGCTGGTGTGGCTCAGTGGATTGAGTGACTGGCTTGCAAAATCACGGGATTGGTTCCCTGTCAGGGCACAAGCCTGGGTTGAGGGGCCTGGTTCCTGGATGGGGGTGTGTCAGAGGCAACCAATCCATGTATTTCTCACACATTGATATTTCTGTCCCTCTCCTTCTCTCTCCCTTCTTGTGTAAAATAAATAAATAAAATCTTTTTAAAAATGATGTTAAAATATTGAATTGAAAACGCATTTAGGCTTACTACCAGCAACTTTTGTAAACTTAATATTTAATAGTACCTGGCTGGTGTAGCTCAGTGGATTGAGCATGGGCCTGTGAACTAGAGTATCTTGGTTCAATTCCCAGTCTGGGCACATGCCTGGGTTGCAGGCCAGTTCCCAGCAGGGGACACACAAGAGGCAACCATACATTGATATTTCCCAATCTCCTTCCCTTCCCATCTAAAGATAAATAAAATCTTTTAAAAATATTTAATAGTAATAACATTGCCATAGAAGACAGTATGATGTTGTGAAACAAGTAGGACTTGAGTCTTGATTGCATTTCTTACCAGCTGATTATTACTGTCTTTGGATAAACATCTTTTTTCCGTTTTCTGTTCCCCTCTTTTTCAAAAACATTTTAGTTCAACTCAGGTGGGAAGACTAATATACATGGTACCTATTTCACAGAGTTGTTGGGAGAATCAAAATGCATATAAAAGCATATAAGTGCTTTTTAAATGGCATATTTTACTTAAGTTTTAAGAGTAAATGTGACTACTACTTGGGAATATTTTTGAAATATATATCTGATTTAAATTTTATTTTACTCATCAATTGGGGTAAATGTTTAGTTTGTAATCTACTGCTTTCTATGACACACACTGGATAATCAGTAATTATTTGTTGCTTTCCAATTAGTTTTTCAGGACTCTATTACTACTATTTAATTCTCACCTGAAGATATGTTTTTTGATTTTTAGAGAGAAAGAAGGGAGAGGGGAGGGGGAGAGGGAGACACAACGATGGATGGGGCGGTTTCCTCCGGTTGGTTTGCCTTCTGTATCGCAACCTAGTTATGTGCTCTCACCCAGGATTTGATGTACGGGAGGACGCTCCAACAAACCGAGCCATTCAGCTACGGCAGGAATCTATTATTTTGTGGACTATTACCAGTTCTGCACGCTGAATACCACGGGCTCTCCAATGTTTCATTTAGAGCATTCTTGTATAGCGAAGATATAGGGTGCAAACAATTCGGAGCTCTGACAGGAACTGTAGTATATAAAGCTTTCAGAAAAGCCCCCCTGCTTCACACTTTGAAACAGAAATAGATTTACAAGGGTTTTCTGCTTACCTCTCAGCCCCATGTCTCTCCACTATTTTCCCCCATCTCCATTCCTGGTGTACAGAACTACTTCCCCAACTGCTCGAAGAAATCTCGTGTTTGGACCTTCCCATCTGTTATTTGCTTGATACTCTTTCTCTGTAGCATCAATTCTTCCTTAATGTCACGCTTAGATGTCATCTCACAAAAGTCTTCCCACACCCTCACTGGCAACTGTAGTGTGTTTTACAACTCCTGTCAGTGTATCACACTATATTTACATTCTTTTTGTCTGTCTCCTTCAATACACTGAACTCTGGGAGGGCAGGTCCAGTCACTGTTGCACGTAGTATATGATCCTAACATCTTTTTTCGATAAACATTTTTTGACTGAATTATGAAAGTGGCCGGGTTTTTAGTAAACAGTATACTTCCAATCACCCAGCTTGGTTTTTTGATATTCCATTAAGATTAGACGCTCCGCGTTGATACATTTTCACCTGTAAGGCTGACCGTCCTTTGACCCAGACGCGTCGGTAGAAACCCATTTGTCTAAACCTGAGTTATCAGCAGAGTAGCCGCCAACATCTCCTGGAGTCGAAAGGCATGGGTTTGTATAACTCCCACGAGCAACTGTTATACCATCTAGCCAGTGAAAGAGAATCTTTAGGGGCCACCGGGAATCCCAGAAAAGACGAAGGATTCGTCTAATCCCGACCTCGGAACTAAAAAAGCAGAGCTCTACCTACACTACCTCTACCAGCGCGCCAAACCGTTAGTCTCACTCTTCCCATTTGGCTCCACCCACCTGGCGCGCCCGGGCTACTAAACTGCAGCTGGTCGTGTGCAGGACGCGCTCCTAAGCCCCGCCTCCGGGGCGAGGGCGCGCTCCCCCTCCCAGCTCTGCTTTGAGCAGTTCCGTTAGTAGCTGCAGGAAAAACCGTCCTTCGGGTCCCCGCCTCTCCACTCCCAACGCTTTACTCTCTACTCTCCTTGCGACCACTACCTAACCAGCTACGGCGGCCCCTAAAGTACAAATATCCCTCAGGCCCTTGGTGTATCTTGATAGGTTTTTTGTTATTTTTATCTGGTCGTTAGACCCTGAGTTCAATTTTTATCAGGAATTCGAGCTCGCGAGTTTCTTCCGGCGGGAGGAAGTCCAACGCTCTCCACGGAAATAAAAGTTTTTTCTTTTTTTTCTTTTGCCTCTGTGGCCGTTCGCATTCCTTCCCTCCCACCTCGCGGAATTGTGGCGGGAGGGGGAGGAGGAAGTCAAGGCGCCTGCGCGGAGTGGCCGCTTTCCATCCGGGTCCCTGTCCGAGCAGTGCAGCAGGTCGGTAGGCGGGAAATGGCGACTGGCTGAAGGAGCTGGGTCTGTTGCTGCTGCGGGCTAAGCGGGAAAGACACCACACATTGCGCAGTCGGGACCATTGCCGGAGCCTGAGGACACTTCTCTGTCGTCACAGTTAGGTAATCCCCCTTGTTCAGACACTGCCGCTGCTCCCAACCTTAGTCCTCCTCCTCTTCCAGGGCCGTCTGCAGGGATCTCCTCCCCTTCTCAACCGGGTTCTCCAGCGGCTCCCGCGCCTAGGTAGGCATGTTCTGTCCGCGCCTCGTACGTCCGCTGTGTGGAGCCGCTCTTCTATGGACTTTCCCCTGGGAACAGAAAGGGAGCTCACTTCCCGCCAGCTTCGGCTCCCAGGCTTGCGCGGCCTGTGTTGTGATTTCTAGGGTTAGATTTCACTTTGCTACCCACCCCCACCCCGATCTCACGTTCCTCGTCCCAAATCCTGTGGTCCCTTCGGATAATTGGGTTAGATCAGTTTTTCTAACCTTGGCCAACCCGATGTTTTCGCTATTTCAATTCTTCCTAGTAGTGTGCTTTTAGGGGGGCGTTGCTCTGTCTCAATTTTTATGAACATCTATTGAGGATCTGGAAGAAGAGATTTCACCAAGTTCCGTTTTATCTTCTGTACTGCTAATATGTTGAGTTGACATTGTTACTTACAGCCCATGTGGAAGGCCTCTGGTTTCTTTAATGATCAGTTAAGGGTGAATCTTATCGTCCGAAGTATTCTACGCTGCCTTTGGTTATTAAATGCCTGCATGGATGTTTACATTTGCATTCTTGATTAGAGTTCCGTCCTAAATACTGTAGAAGTAAATCGTGTTTATTTACTTACTATCTTAGTTGTGGCTGGATGTGTGAATGATGTTAAACGCTTAAGAAGAGTACTTTAGGGAAGCCTAACGCGATACTGCTCGTAAACTGTCCTAAGATCATGAAATGAAATGTACTTTTAGTAGATGTTCCTCCAAGGCAGGGATTTACCTTTCTAATGCTAATAAAACAATACCAATATGAATATACAGATTAATGACCTAAGTGATGTATTTATCTTAGTAACTTTAAGATTGTAGGTTTTTAAATATACTGTTTCTATTCTCTTACAACTTTTAAATTTTTATGTGTTTAGCTATTAAGGCAAGAAAATGGCTAGTTAGAGCTACTTTGTCTTCCTTTATTATTATTATTTCATTTTTACATTGCAGACTAGTTATCCATAAAGAAGTAATAAAGAAGCTGTTGTTTTTCAGAATTATAGTTTATTTTTTTAACTAGTCAAGTTTTTAAAATGTGGTTCTTATTACGTATCATTTGATATTTATGACTCAAAGGCTTTTAGCACTCGGTCCATCTTAGAAGACTTCACTGTTGTTAGTGTATTATGATTAAATTTCCGTAATGAACAGGAATACACAAACATCATTGTTGTAATTTGGTAGATTCCCCACCCAAGGTCATAAAGAAAGTCAAGGCAAAATGTAGCTCTTACTCGAAGTAGCCTTTAAGGATTGACTTGAACTTAATACTTCTAGGACCAAAAAATAGGAAGTGAGAAGTGGAGGTGAGGGCATGTTAGATACTTGCTGAGCCAATTTGTTTAAAAAATAGGGCCAAATGTGTGACTTAAAAGGATATAAACTGAATTATTGGTCTGGTGTAGGCTTTATTTGTACTTTAATGACTTTTCTAGGTAGTTTATAAAGCATTAATGTTTTTAATAAAGTTTGGTTTATAGGTAGCTGAGTGAGCATTGTATTTTGTCTTCAAGAATTCTCCCAAATTGTTTTAATTTTACATTTATTTAGTGCCTGCACTCTTCCAATGCTCTGAAAGAATTTAAAAGCTCTAAGTTGTATAGTCCTTAACCTTGTTGGACTTGTAGCTGTATAGAAATTCCAAATAGGATTGCAGAGAAAAACTGAATGGGATTGGTATGTTTTATAATAATACAATCCAAATAGAGCTAGTAATGTTATTCAAAGTTGTATTTTTCCCAAATACATCTAGCTGATTCCCCCATTTGAGATTAGTTCTTGTTTTAAAAAACTTGGACCTGTTGTTGAGAAAGACACTAGCTAGACTCTAGACTTGCAGATTAATTGCAGATTGAATAACATGATATTAAATGATCCTAGTTATAGACAATACTTTGGATTAATGTGGTAGAAAATAAAGTGGTATGTCAGAATTAAAAAAAACTCTATTATCTAATTATATCTGTAATTTACCAAGTCGTTATGAAAGCATAAAGTAGAAAAGACACTTTAAATACTAAATGTCAAGTGTGCTGAGAGGACTTCATACATAGTTGGTGTGCTCTAAGTAATTCGAGATTAGTTAGAAAGTTATCTAGCCATTTTCACTGCATTGGCTATAGGGGGTCATTTGCTGTACTTTGAAGATAGAGGATTTATGATAAAACCATACAATTGCAGTTTCAGTCTCCACTTGACATTTGCCATGAGATGTATATCTAAGCCGGGCATATATTCACTACTGATTATATGACTACATTAACTTTTAATTCACAGTATATTATGTTGTAATTGGAACTGTATTACAAATAAGTAGTTAACTTATGAATAGGTGGTTGACTTTGAAGTGTAGTGAGAATTGCCAGTACCAAACTTTATTTGTGTCTTTCCTATGTGTAATGGATTTTTTCCTAAAATATTCTGTTTAAAATCACAAATTTTCTGGAAGAGAAACTTTAAAGTACTGTCTTTTATTGACAGTATTGGGACAGATTAGTTTGTCAAGTAAACTTGTTGTAGTTTACAAACAGGTGAGAGTTCAGAGGCAGTGGAATGTAGAAGTAAGCTTTTATGCAATGTCTGATTAGGACAGGTGTGACATACAGGAAGATTGTCTAGGGGAGAAAGGCAGTCTGGGTGTAGAATCATAGTTTGAAGCTTGGGCCTCTTGGGGTCCTTTGGGAGTCTTGTGAATCTGACAGTAATGATGGGTGAGACTAAGTGTAGTCCCTAGGAAGAATTGTGGGACTTTGAGGATATATATGATTTATAGGTTTGGCCAGCCTCCCCCCCCCCTTTTTTTTTTAACCTCATCTGTAGGTTCCCCAGTTAGTATGGTATTTTTAGAAAAGAATGAAGAGAAACAGTAAAATGCCATTTAAAAGAGAAAGAGTGTTGTAAGGATTTATATACAAATCCTTTGAACTTTAAAGTCACAATAGGCCAGTTGATTATATTACTTCATGTTTTATGGTATTCATAGGCTCTCCTGTATTAATTTAGAGAGATTGTAGAAAAGGAAATATGTCTAGATTAAACATCAATCAATAGCAGTGTTTTTGAGGTTCCAGCGATCAGATTTTCAAATCTGTAATACTTTTAGGACCAGTAAATACTTACTACTTGGATTAAAGAAGCACAAAATTTTTAGTATTGGAAGGTGCTTGAATACTTTATAAATAATTGGGATTAGTATCTAGTAATAGTGGTTTATGTAGTTTAGAACAGGAGTGTCAAACTCATTTTCACCGGGGGCCATGTCAGTCTCGAGGTTGCCTTCAAAGGGCCGGATGTAATTTCAGCTCCTTAACAGTTAAGGAGTAGTTACATTTATACAGTCCTAAAATTATTTCAGCCCTTTGAAGGCAACCATTAGGCTGATGTGGACCCCCGTGAAAATGAGTTCGACACCCCCGGTTTAGAAAATATTTTTGCGTCTATGGCCATACCACCCTAAACATGCCCAATCTTGTCTGATCTTAGAAGCTAAGCAGGGTCGGGCCTGGTTAGTACTTGGATGGGAGGATATTTTTTTCTTTAGACTAAATATGGTTCTTTGATATTGAGAAATTCATTAGGAACTTAAAAAGCAGAGACATTGCTAATAGTAAGAAGGGGAAGATTAACACACTGTTAGCAGCATAACTTGATATTTTAAGTTTCTTGTGTTGACCAGTTAGAGTAATTTTTAAGTAGGAATTTACGAGTATGTTTTAGTTTTAAAAAGTATGTTACTTGTTAAAGAAAATATCCAGAACACATAAATATCTTTTTAGTTGAGAAAAAACTGATTATTAAGTAATAATTGCTTTCTTCCTGATATTTCTCAAATTTGTATGATCATCCTATTGAGTTGAAAATGATGAACTTCTCACTGACTTTACAAGTACCTGCTTTAGTGCATTTTGTTAAATAAGATAATTATACAGTCCTTGAAATATATCAGTACAGTCCTTTCTGATGTACTGATAAAGGTTATTCAAAAAATATTCACAATCACATTTCAAACAATCCTTGATTTTTCCCTGATTGGGAATATACCTTTTTATATTTTTATTTTATAGTCTCAAATAAGATGGAACTTCTTTTGGAGAATTATCCTTATACTTTATTTTTGACTAGTAATTAAAAAATTCCGTATTCATAAACCTTATTATCAGTTTATCAAATCATAATGATTAGTTTTTCCTTGGTATGTACTGGTGACAATAGTGCAAAATTATTTCAGATACTCAATGCAAATTTATTTTGGGCAAAGACCTTGATGTTTTACTTTATAATTTTAAGATTTTTTAGTTAATAACTATTTTTCTTCTTTGTTAACATCTCACTAATTCTTTTCTTAGTGTGTTCTGAGGGTTTCAGATTTCTACTGGCATGAGAGTAAGTTTAGTATAAAATTAGAATTTTTTTCAATAGACATTTTTGTCAAAAGAGTATAAATAAGTAGTTATTTCTCTCCCTTTGTTCTGTTTTGTTGAGAACTACTTAAACAAAAAAACACTCTTAGGAAAACTACTGAAATTAAGTTCACTTTTTTGAATCTTTGATTTATCTTTGTTAATGTATCCATCAAGTGCATTGTAACTATGTGTATAGGTGACTCACCCCAGTAAATTAAAAAATATATATTAGAATATGTATATTTTATAGAAATGGTAGTAATAAGGTGGAAAATGGTAAATTAGAGTGACAAGTTTCCTCTGCTTTTTAAAGGGAAAATTTCTCATCAGTATTATGGTAGTCAGTTCTTATGAGTTCATAACCTGTATTTCTACTAAAATAACACTTGTATTACAAAGTTTTATTGGTAGAGTTTCATACCATGTAATAGAATGCTCTTTACAGGTTGTTTAAATTATATTTTC